TCATGAAGGGAGACAAGCTTCACAGACAAGGCGGCAGCGGCAGCCAAGAGCGAAATCATGACGGGAGACAAGCTTGGGAAACAAGGCGGCAGCGGCATCGGCAGCCAATTTGTGCAATCAGGAACCCATCCATTGAGAAGTAAGAACCCCTATAGCTTCGCTATCTGGGGAAAAATGTGTTTTTGCCGGAAAGTTGCCCGACCCTGATGGTAGAGGCTCTCTACCATCTAAGGGTCTCCAGAAACGACCCGAAATTGGCACCTCCAGGTTAAGGGGTAAAAAACAAATTTGATGTAAGCGGAGGAACTTGCTGGGCCAATGCCAAGCTGCAGAAACTGCGGTCTACAGATCTCATACAGCGTTTCATTGCGATCTTCTCTCGTTTCTTGGGCGAAACCCTCTGCTCTGAGAAGCCGCTTCTGCCAGATCCGTCGTCCCGGAGGCGCTTCTCACGGTTCCGTTGGCCAGACCGTCCAAGGCCATGACGGATGGCCTGGATGATGTCATTGAGCTCAACGTGGGAGGCGACGTGGCCCGTGGCCAGCGAATGACGGTCTTGGCACCTTTTTCCCTTGCAACACGTCGTTAAATTTTTACAGTTTGTTCTTTTCCTTGATGAGTCGACCCACTTTTCAGCAGACACTTGCTGTCGTTCGAGATGGTGCTGTCATCAGACCGGTCCCCCCCAAGCAGCTGTGCTGCGGGAATCACGACCGCGCGACATGAGCTAGACCTGATTGAGCTAGTTATTCTTTTTCCAGCAGCTTTCCCAGGATCCTTTGCCGCACAGGTCAGCACATGAGCACCACCCGCGGGGTGCTTTGTTGTGCACAAGGTTCGATGCTAGCAGGAGCCGGGCCGGGCCGCAGAGCGAGCGCGCGCCGCTGGGGGCTGTGTGGAGTCGGTTGACTCCGCGTGGTTTGGTTCGCTGATGCAGTCGATGCCCGAAGTGGACACACTCAGCAGACGACGCGTTCGGTTCGTTGTTTTTCTCCCGCTGCGCCAGGAATGTTCAGTGGCAACTTTGATTCCAGCCACAAGCGGGACAAGGTCATTCGCAAGATGTGTCGAGCTGAATGGAGCTTTGGTAGTCAGGTGGCTTCGAAGCTTTAGTGGAATCCTACATTATCCCGCCAATGGAGCAGAAACGCGATCGAACAAGTGGAGGATTTGCTGCACCTCTCCTTTGCCAGGATGGACGGATCTTCCTTGATGTTGACCCGCCTCTCTTTGAAAAGGCTCCGTTTGGACGGGGCGATCGCGACGTCGATGGTGTCAGTCATCAACTTATCCTTTTGAAGGATGAGATGGTGCTGAAGCGAGCCTGCGAACCGAGCATCGGGTCTGAAAGGACGGCTCGGTCGCTTGGGTCGCTCAGATTCTATATTCGTTGACAAGGCTTGATCAACAGTTTCCTTTACCAGTTTGGAAGAAGGTCTTGACCACCAATACTAGAAACAATAGTTGTTCAAAAAAACACCAACAGGATCATCAGATGCATGACTTTCATTTTCATCACTGCAATTCCGCGCGAAGGGGAAGCGGAAAATACTATCCCCTCTCCAACAAACATGGAAGTGGTCAAATTCCTGTTTGGTCTTTGGAAGATGGTCTTTGCAAGGGCCCTGCCATCCACGTCACCACGGCTTCAGGGAGGATCAAGCATAGGAATCGCCTTTTCCTCGTTGTCTGCGACGGGTACTTCGCCAGGTGCTCCGGCACCTCCGGCTGCGGCGCATCGCGAGCCCTGAGCAGCCTGCGCCACTGCCTCACGTGCCCGAGGACGGTCCGAGAGGGTCGGAGAGCCGGTGGGAACGATGACGATGCACCTGACGGCGCTACGACTGCCAGGATCGCTTCAGCTGTTTTGCGAACCAGAACTGTTTCTGGTTGGGACTTGGTGGTGCACCCGGTAGGTCAGGTCCAAGCCCATTGGCAGCACCCGACACCAGTTCGGGCCACCGGGTCGGGCCACCGGCCATGGTTTCCGAAGAGCACGCATTGGCCACCCGCGAAATCGCTGAACGAACCATGGGGCGAAGTCTCTCTGTTTTTGGACGTCGTTGGGTTTCGATGTCCAAAGTTTTGGAACTAGAACCGAGTGAGTATGTGATGTAACGTTTACTGCAAGGCATGGAAGCAAAACCCTGGAGAATTCCACCAAGAAGCACGTGATGGTCCAGAAATCCTTTTAAAAGGCCCACCGGACGCGCCAGGACCTGCGGGCAGAGTGGGACATGATGATCAAATACTTCGGCCTCGACCTTTACATGTGCTCTCAAGCTGACAAGAGTCCACCAGTTTCTCCCAGCTAACTTCAGTGTCCAGCGGAGCAATGCGGAGCCGACTTGGAGAAATGGGTTTGCTGTAAGCTGTGATCCAGACAGACTCTCCCTCCCCAACCTTGAGCACAAACTCTCGGACTGGACTGACGCCAGTTTAAGCAAGCAGGTCCATCCTTTATGAAAAAGCAGGAGGCGAAAGTGGTCGACACTGTCCCCTGCACTCGGCAAAAAGGAAGACAGCAAAAATGGTCGACATACGTTGACATGTTTTCTTCGGGCTTTGTTGCAGGTATGGGATGAGTGCGAGTTGCAACATCTTTCAGAGGATGGTTCGTCGATTGCGCAGCCGACGGTCTGATGCTATTTGGAGGTTTAAGAAATGCCAATTTGCTGACCAAGGCAAGCTGTATCCAGCCTAAGATCGTCGCGATCAATCACCCCAATGTCTTGAATCAAGAATAATGCGGATTTCAAGACCTCCATTTTCTTACTTAGTTTTTATGTCTTTCAAGGCACACCAGAAAGATCCGACACCATGGATTGCGGCCAGTGCCAGGATTGCCGAGATGGTCGAGGTGGATCAAGCAAAGCTCCAGCGGGGCGTCCACAGCGATGGCGTTTGTTCAGCGATCGTGGAGGGTTCATCGTTGTGCTCATCGACGGTGTAACGGTCATGGGTCGTCGAAACGGAGCCGAAGGTGGGTCATTCTGTGTCAGGCGGGTCATACGGTGCTCTGAGTACGTCAAGATGACGATTTTTTCTTCCAATTCTAATGAACACAACCAGATTCCCTTCTGCCACACATTGCTACTCAAAAAGTTCAAGGTTGGTATTATTAGTAATGGGTTTTGGTATGTTTTGGTCTATTTCCCTTCTTCCAGGGGGTCTTTGGGAGATCTCCCTATTTGAATACACACCCAAGTGCCATTATGATGATTCACTTCTCTGCTTTCTTTTTCTAGGCACCGCTGTTCTACGGTTTAGCCGCCAAGCGGCCGCCCGTCGTCCCGTCCGACACCACTGCAAGCAGCGAACGGTGTCCAGGGAGAACGATATCGTGCGAATCACTCTGAGCTCGACGGGTGGAGTGCCATCCTCGAGCCACCAAGAGGCGTGGCCGCTTTTAGGGCGACGTTCACATAAAACAGGAAATTCAGTAATAAAGTAAACATATATATATATAGATATGTAGATGTTCTTTTTGTTAAAAATAAACGACACAATATTTTTAGAGATAATTTGATTATAGTGTATGTTACTGTATGTTCATTTTTTGCACTACAGGGTGACCGATCGAAAACGCATGGTTTGGAGTTGTTTGGTTTCTTCCAAAAGGTTCCAAGGCAAAACCTCAGATCAATCGGCCAACTAGTGGGCACGGTTGAAACCCAGGCCAGGTCTGGGCCGGTGTTCCAAGACGTGCGTGTGTTTGCGGCAGCACGTGGCATGGTGACCAAACGAGTCAGCACCAGATCTTTTGGATCCTTTGGAGCTGGATGACCGCTGGAAGGACTGCTGTCAGCTGCGACCCCCCCCGGACGCCAAGCACTCGGCTTGCCAACCCCACCCTTCAATGATATATATATATATATATCGCTACCCTACCCTTGTTTTCTTCCGAAGGCCGTCGCCGGCCTTTTTTCGCCGCCCACCATGCCAGCTACTGGCAGGTGCTGGGATCGATCGGCTTTTCGGAGCGCTCCCTGGAGAACAGCTATGGGGCCTATCCGTGCCCTGGCCGAGACCCAGCTTTTTCGACCGATCTGCAGTCTGCAGGCCGCTGACTGAGTCTGCGTCGTCGAATCGCTGGTCATGCCCCCCCAGTCGACGCATCGCCCTCTCGTGAACGGGCTTCAGGCGTTCGGCGCTCCACACAGGATGGTCAAGAACATGGTCATGCTTCCCATGAACCAAATGGGAGCAGAAAGACGTCTCTTGCTTGTTTGAATATCCTCCATGACTTAACCTTTATGAAATGGGGATCACAGGGCAAGGGTTAAGGTAAGGAGGATGTTTGAATCATTTTGAATCTTATGTCAACAAGATTCATCCATGAAGTCCGGATACTCCGTGGATGGCTGCACAGTGATCGATATATATATATATTTTATACAGTAGTCGTGAAGTCCATCGATCTCTTCCAGATGGTTTTCAGGAATAGCATCACGATCAAGTTCCTGAAGCACCGCGCCGGGGAACTCGGTGCTAGGCGCTATAGGCCGTGTCCACGACACCCAGCACCAAGCTGACGTGCTCCGCTTTGCGCGCCCGACTTCGGATTTCAAGTGCCATTCTCGGCATGTTTCCAATTGTTGGGAGTAACGGTTCCCTGATGTTTTGAACACGGATTCAATGGCCACATCGACGGGCGAGTACCATGGGTTCCCACCACACTTCTCTCCCCCCAACCGACGGACCCGCTTCACCCACCCATGTTTTGGCCCATCCGGTGGCCTTGGCCCCCCCCACCTGGGGCTTGGCACCAGGGGCCATCACCCTGCCACCCTTGGGCTCCTGCCTTACGCGATGTCTGTGACCAGATGGTCGAAAAACCCGCCGCCCCGCGGAGACCGAGCGAGGTGAAGGTGGAGGCCATGGAGCTGCGGGCGAAGATCGCCGACGCCGGGAACCCCGCGCGGCGGTCGAATTGCGCGACGGGTCCGACGACGAGCGACGGAACGCCCCACATGAAGCGATATGAAGACTGGACGCTGGGAGAGGTCATGGGACTGAGATGTCATAACACTATGATTTGTGATAACCGACACTATTTGTGATATATATAACCGTGAATACCATGATTTGAGAATCACGACGTGGAACTCTGCTTCTCACCCCCCTTGGGCCTAGGTCCTGGCCCACATGTCCAACAAATGGACCTTCAAACACGGGACGGAGTCGATCAACATGTCGTGCGCCAGCTTCTGGCGATGAGGTCGTCAGCGTCGGTTGTAAAGAGCAAAAGCAAACGAGATCCAGTGCCTTCTGAAGCTCTTGGTCAAGTTAGATCTTCATGTATAGACCTCTATTTAAGCAAGGTAGCATGTTTTGTGCCGATCATACTGGAACAAGGCCGAGTTGTTGTAAACTGACCTGACTTGCCGACTGTGTCACGGGCTCCTACATCCAGGGGTGCCAAAAAATAGTCTATGGATGTCGGTTCAGAAAAGCAACCCAACATCACATCCGCAAGAAATGTCGCAAAATCGCTGAGTCATGCAGATCCGGATCTTTGGCTTCTTCTGAAGAGCTGTGTGCTGTGATTGTAATTTTTGCTCTTCTTCACAATCGTAAATAAGACAAATATATATATATATATATATGCATATACTGCCTTGCATTTAGGGTTTGATACCTCAAAACGCAGAAAGAGATTCAGATAGGACCACCAAGTCTCGACCTTGTATCTCATAGTCATGCACATTGAACTGTTTGCTGCTGTGACTTCTGGTTTTTGAAAAAAGAACAATCCATGTTTGCAGGTACTCCTTCTCGCGCTCCGAGCCCAGTACCGGCCGCGGGGACGCCCGAAGCGACGCGACGCGGGGGCAGGGCGGCATGGGCAGAGGGAGTCACCTTTTGGGTCTTTCTTTTCTCTGCCTACCTAGTCACCCTTTGATCAGCTTTGTGACTATTAAGGGAGTCAGGGAGTCACATGGGTTGATCCGTTTAACAGTTTGATGGTCAGCTTGATCAGGTCTGGACACACCGGGCCTTGGCCAAGCCTTTGTCGATGAGGCCGGGCAGACCTTGAGGTCCCACGCTCGTCCGAATGGACGCAGTAGATCATGTAGATCCACCCGGCGAGGGTGTTTGGAAGGAGCCCCTAGTAGCGTCCGAACGCTCCGTTCGTAGCGATGCCAGGAGCCCCGTTCGTAGCTTCTTGTTCCTAGTAAGGCCAGGAGCCCCGTTTCGAGTCGCGTCCGAACGCTCCTTCGGAAGGAGTCGCGTCTCTGTGTTTTTCTGATCACCTCGAGTGGTGACGTTGAGCAGCTCACGTCGAACGCCACAACGCTGCAGCGTTCTCGACTCGAACGAAAGAGCCCTGCAGATGGGAACTGCGGGAAAGAGCCCTGCATTGGAAGCGTTTGGTCTTTTTCAAGATAGGCATGAACCACACCGATAAGGCATTTTTCATCCTTTTTCTCTTCTGTTCGGACAACCTAAAACCCAACGCCGCACTCGATGTTGCGAGGTGGTGTGGCTCTTTCCGAGGGACTTCTGCCGGCAGCCCAGAGATTCATCCCAGGGTGAGCCAAAGGCTTGTTCTTACGATATCCAGCCCTTCTTTCAACTAGCTTTGCGCACAGACTGATAGTGGTGAATGGCTGACGGCCTCCTGTGTGCTCCGGGCAACTTGCCCTCCACGATTCCGTGAATTACAAGACCTGTTGCATGGCCTAACTTTGCCCAAGTCTGCTCTGATTTCTGATACGCCACACAACTGAAAGCAACAGGCACCGCAGCAATCCGGTGACGGCGGCATTTCTCACCATACGGACCGGCGGCATTTCTCACCATCGCGCAGCGCCACCGCCGGTTGCGCCGTGGTTTTCCCGTGGACTCTACCAAGGCCTTGAGCACATCGTGCTGTGGGGCCATGTCATCGACAAGACCTGACTGGCCCGGAGCCGAGAGTGACCGCCCCACCGAACACAAGCGAACCCCTGAGTGAGCCGATGACAGGCATCCGAAAACCAAGGTTAGCCGTGAGTGGGCCTACCAAACGGCTCGACTCATCATCAGTGGGGTTCCCTGAGTGTGAAAGTTGTGTGTTTTCTCCACACCTGATTCTTTTTGTTGCGTGTTTAGTTTTAACATGAGCTCAAAGTCCAGAAACATGGCTTCAACCGCTGTGCCTTGCGCCGCCAATCAAAGTGGCACGGACCTTGTCTCCGAGCCTAATTTCCAGCGGTTCTCATTCCTTTAACTTGAGGCCTGGGCTTTATGGAGAAGAGTCATGAATTTATCTCATGGGTATCTCACGAGGGTGTCTCACACGTTTTTTTGTTAAAGCTTTATTTCCCTCACCTTTTTGTTTCGTTTTCTTTGGGAGAGGGGGATAGCTCTTTGGAGTTCGCAGGCGAAGATGCCACGCCAGGCGTGTTTAAAGCAGTTGGTCGAAATGAAGAAAGCCAGACGCCGGTGCAAGATGAAGACCAGCATATGATTCAGAGTGGTTCCTGGGCAAGTGTATGTTTGAAAAGGAAGGTGCCTCACAGGGCCTCAACTCGGTGAATTTCAGATGGATTTTTAGTCTGTTTTCCCTTTTGTCAGTCTGGCCCAACGCACTTGCTTTCAGGCCTGCATCCAGTCTAGACTCCGTTAACTCTCGATGCAGCAGAAGGCCAGAAAATAGATCTCATTGACTCATTGACTCAAGACTTGAAGGTTGTTGCTCATGGTGCATTTGAAGTCATCACAACCGTTGCATTGTACTCTGCTGTACTGACCCGTGGCGCTAGAACAGCCGATGCTCTGGGAGCCCGCTGAGCAACCGGAAACTGGCGGCTCAAAACTGGCTTTGACATGCTTTGACTCGGTGTTCGGGTCCACGTTCAATGAAGGGAGTTTAGGACCCCGTTTCCCAGCTCCCACAGAGTTTGGGTGACACTTTGTGGAACACAAGAATCCTTAGGTGCCAGTTCTTGAACCAGCGGTAGTACACACCGTGCTTGAACTCCAACTAGATCTTCGGAATGTTCTGTTCCGGTCTCAGTGATTTCCAAACATTTGCGAAGCTGATCGTTTGGGAGGACACCCCCCAACAAGTGATTGATTGCGGAGTTCTTTTGTGTTCAACAAAGCCTGCCGTGTGTTTCTGTTTGTTCGACTGCGCTGGGCACCTATTGAAGCATCGCTTGCGACTGAGGGTGATCAGACAAGTAGTCTTAGGAAGGGCCGGCAGCTGTCCAGGGAACGCAAGATGCTTGCATCTTAGGGTGACACAGGAAATTTGATGAGCCAAAAGCGGGGGATCTCTTCTTCTATTGACATTCTTGCCACATTTGCGAGTCTCAGGGCATTCATTGGATACATGCGGATTTGGCTTGAGAGAGACTTTGCAAATATCAAGTGCACAACAGACTATGAACCGTGCAGTTCATTTCACTCGCTCCAACACACATGTAAATTCTCCGGTCCAATTAACCAGCTGTCATCTTAGAGTCATCTTAGTCTAGCGGTGCAAGCTGACCCTCTGCTACTGCCGGCCTCGCCCAAACATAAGCCAAGACCAAAAAAGCGCGACTGCCGTCGAAGGCCGTCGACGGCCGTCGACTGCCGTGTGCAGCTCCGCCGAGTAGTTCCCACCCGGGTTTTTCCAAGATCAGACACATGTGGGTGTTATTTCTTATATAGCACGGGTAGACTGGTTCTATGATGTCTGTTTTTGAAAGGGTCGCACTGGAAGGTCTCCCTCTTTCAATACACACCCCACATATCAAGACGCTTCATTCCGAATGCTTGGCTTTGAGAGGTGTACTTCTCGTTCGGACGACGGACCAGTGGTTAGGAGCATGTAAAGCTGACTCGAAGAAACATGGTGACACTGATGGGTCAACAGAACAATAGACCAAACAGATGCGCGGGTGCCACTGGCTTCAGCCAAATGAAGCTCTTGTTTCTCATCCGAACTGGCGGACGATCTCCGGACCGACGATTGGAGCCACCACAGGCTGACGAACGCGACCCCGAAAGCCATAGAAGACGGGAGATAGGACGATTTCTTTGTTTGGATCTGAAGGGATGTCATGTCGGTGATCTCTGAATCGCTCCTTTGGGCTCCGAGCTTGTAGGTCATGAACGAGCGAACGACATGGTAGGGATGTTTTCGTTCACAACTGCCTGTTCATGCAGCAAGTAACGGGGTGTGTTTTTTTTTTTTTTCCGTGACGGACAAGCTCTTAGAACATCGGTTTTTTGGTTCTAAGTGGTTTTTCCTACCACTATATATCCATTCTCCTTGGGCAACAAAAAACCGTCTCCGTCACACATCCCATATGTGGCCCGAACGATGCCGCTCAAAACACCGTCGGGTTGTCGTACACCTCGCCGGTGACGCCGGTCATGACTCTTAGATGTTGAGGACGGCAGACGCTTCGGGACCAAAATGAACAGTCGCTGCCACTCGCCTTTTCAGAGTCATGATTGGTCATGTATTACAATATATGATACTTCATGATACACAATCGGTACAACGCATTTCTGGACCACCCGCTGTCAGCGGCTTGTCAGCATGGCCATGGCGCCAGAGCTGCGCGGGGCCAACTCCTTAGCTTGGCTGTTGTGATTTGTTTGAAGGGTTCGAGCTGGGTGAGAGCTGGTGTTGACTATGCCACTATGCACCTTGGGGGCCTTGGTGAGGCTTTCGATGTGGCTTCTCATTCACAATCCAATCGGCCCAGCGACCTTTACATAGCCTTTTGCCACCCTCCATCCACTTCCTGTGGAAAGAACCTAGAAGCTGGCAGCCGATGGTTTCACTTGAATCCTACATCAACCAGGTCGTCAGTGCACCCGGGGCACAAAGTAGGACTCTGCAGCTTTCGTAGTGCATGAATGAAACTGAAGCCTTTGAGTTTGAGTCTAGTGACTAGTGTTCTTCTACAGATCTTGAGGTAGCAGAGATCATGCGATCTATACTGCAACCATTTCGGGTCGCAAAACAACACTGCCAACAGCACCAGACCTCAGGGTTTTGTTTCCTCGACGAGGCTCTCAAGTCTGTGGGTGGTAGTTTGGTGAATCCTTGCCAGTCAGTTTGCTGAGTCCTGCATGGACATTGCAGCCAGTGGGTTCAAAGAACTTGGTCATCGTAGTTGCAGATTGGGGTTACGCCATGATGAAATGCTTGCTCTGTGGCAGATACAGCTCCGAACCTGGATAACAAGGCTGCCCAACTCAAGGAGGCAGACAAGGAGGTTCTGAGAAAGCTTCAGGTCTGCAAAGGCAGCGACTGTGAGAATGAGGCTGCTCAGCTTGACAAAGCAGAAGAGACGAAGCAAATAATATTGGACACCATACAGGGACGCTTTGAGGTGGGATAGGTTGAAATTGCTCCAAATCCAAAACTGTGCAGATGCTTTCTGCAGGTTTTGTGGTGGTCACTGTGTCTTACTTCTTCATTGTGCCAACTTAAGTGATAGGTTGTGACAGGGCTGTGATGTCCTTCTGAAGTATTGAAGGAATATATATAATATATAATATATACATAAATTGGGGGGAACACAACACTTGTTTCAATGTAATATGTATTCTATAGTCTTTTTTCTTCGTGTCTTTTCTGCATGATCACTCGTCATATATATATATAAATATATTATATAGTACATAATATATATATCGACAACAGGATCTTGGCGTTGTGAATTGCAGGTGTGGAAGTGTAGCAAGGAGCCGGTCAGCAAGGAGTAGGCGCTCTCCCAGAGGAACAACCCGCGAGGATCTTTCCAGGCATTCCTTTGTACCTGGGAGAATCGAGTGACGCAGGAGCGATGTGCCCAATCTTTTAAGCTGGGAATTGGCTGCGTGGTGAACCTGAAGCTTCTGAGAAGGTCATTGGGACACATTTGGGTTCAAGAATCGAGGCAAGAATCAATCACGTGCGTGACAAGGACGACAGGCATTCTCAACCCAGAAAAGACAGCGCAGGAGCGTGATCCAAAAGCGCCATGGATGCGGTGTGAGCTGTCATGCGACTTTCAATTGAATGGTGCCAGACGCCACAACCAACTGTCAACACGACGTTGGTGTGCCCCAAAAAGCATCCAACATGGGACCAGCGAGGCTTGGGTTATCTATTCGGACGTATCGCAGCCCTGGTCGTGCCAACATGCGCCAGCATGTAGTTCAAACGCAGGTTCATGAACAGAATTCAAGTTCATCTCCCAAGGATATACTCCCACACTTAGGGGGGCTTAGGCGAATCTCTCAACTTCTCCCCAACATTGACCTGGGAACATCAACAGCCCAAAACCAAACACATCGACTGGGTCCAGCCACTTGATCCTAGAAGGACAAATCTTTGAGCCGAGCTTTTTCAACCCCTCCCAGGATGCGGAAGCCATGCAGCAGCTGCTGGAAGATGAGCAGCTAGGCGAGCGGACCATGTTCGCTGGCAACGGCTTGTGCCTTCACGGGACGTCCCGTGCTGTTTTCGGTGTCACGTGCGCATTGATGGCTGCTCCATCGACCACACACGCGTGTTCGATGAACTAGGCAAGTGCAAACTGGACATGTTTTTTGTCATGATTACTGTATTACTTATATATTTATGAAAAAGTGCACTGCCAGGGCCTGCCGTTCTGTATATTTATTACTTATTATATATTTATTTGCAAACAGGCAAGTGATTACTGTATGACTTATCTATTTTTTGCCACTCCAAGAATCCAATCCATTCCATTTCGGGAGGCGCTGCACTGCGCCGGCCTTACCGGCCCCACTGGCTCCACCTGGGCTGGATCGCTTCCACCGCCGGAGCCACTGTCAAAGGCGGGCGGATGTACAGACCAGGTCTGCGCCGTCCATCGCTGTATTTGGTCTTTGGATTTGCAGAGAGAATCAAGTCATTTCGTCTTTGAAAGTTGAATTTAAGTCAGGGACCTGCTTCTATAGACAGTTTGGGTTTTTCATTGAATTAGAACATATTTTTTTTTTGCACATGTTCAACTCGGTTTCTTGGTCATGTCTAGCTTCGTCTTCCGCGAGGGTTTGGCTGCCGCTTTCTCCCCCTGCTGGGTCGCCCTTAGGGCGCCTCGAAACCGAAAAGTTCATAGGATTCAGTTCGGACTGCGTGTTCCGTGGATTGAGCATACTCATCATATGGAATTGAGCATGGAACCTTGCTGTTCCGTTCCCGAAAACGGCCAGCTGGTTCGGTGCCTGATCGACTCAGGCATCCCAATCCCTCGAACTTGGAGAGATTCTGAGGAGCCGTGGATGGGGCAGGTCATTCGGTGTACGGCTGGTAGGCGCATGAGATGAAAATCATGAAAGAACTCAACACCCAACCTGCTGCCTGACTTAAAAGATCTGCTTTCTTATGTAACCCCAGGAGAAGAAGTTCACGTTGAAGGATGGTGGCACGGTGTCTCTTGATTGGTGGCTGCTCAGCAGCAGCTTTCGTTGAAGCGACAGCGATGCAAAGGTGGGGACCTAAAGATCCTTTGCGGCAAGCCAGTCGGTTGCTCATTGCACCCTGTTGCCACAAGGCAGGGACAACACACGGATCGTCCAGTGGTTTTGGTGCTACCTGGTATGGCCAATAGCAGCCGGAGCATTTACATCCGCTATACGATGGCACGCTTGGCGGAGGCCGGTGGGAAGCCCGGCAGGTTTCCCAGCTCCCGAAGGCAGGTTTCGAGTCAGGAGTTCTGGTCTCCAAGGGGAGAGGGTTCTGATGCCAAAAGCTTACTGTGTTTGTCAAGGCAGAGCCTCTAACAGAGCAGAGCATCCTATCAATGTCTTGGTGCGCGGATTTTTCACACGAGATGCTGTACTTGGCTCGAAAAGGGTTGATCTCCCATCAACTCATTTCATCATTCCCAAGTCATTTCTCCTCACGGTTCATGGAGTACTGAGTACTCATGACATTGGCCCAAGGGCTGAGAAACTGGAGCGCGGAGCGATTGCTTCGTGCGCGGAGTCGCGGTGACCCAACACTACTCGACCGTGCGGGAGTGCGCCAACCGCGCTGTGCAGGCAGGCTTCCAAGCTGTGGCCATGAATTATCGGGCTGTGGAGCACTTGGAGTGGCTTGGGAGAAGTGGTACCGGGAGAAGTGGTACTGAAGGGATCCGAAGGATACGGTTTTGATGTATATATATAATTACATTGCAGCCGCCCTGGCGGGGGGCACTTTTTCACCCGCAGACGCATCCGCCTAACGAAGACTGATTCGCCGCAGCTGTGTATGTTTGATGAACCCCGAAGACACCTAGCGAAGACGGATTCCCCGAAGACGCCCCCAACTCCGAAGACGGATTCCCCTCCGAAGACGCCTAGCGAAGACGGATTCCCCGAAGACGCCCCCAACTCCGAAGACAGATTCCCCCCCGAAGACGCATAGCGAAGACGGATTCCCCGAAGACGCCCCCAGCTCCGAAGACGGATTCCCGCCCGAAGATGCCTAGCGAAGACGGATTCCCCGAAGACGCCCCCAGCTCCGAAGACGGCCCGAAGATGACAGATTCCCTGAAGACATGTCCTGCGCGACCTTGCGCATACAGTGGATTCTATGTATCCACTTGGCAGATTGCTTCGCGCGCCCAAACACAGCAGCGCATCAGCTGTGCTGCCCTGCTCAACGCCAGTGAAGTAGCTGTGGTTTTTGTCCGCTTTGTGGGGTTGCACCAGGTTCCTTACAATCCAGAGAAGGAACAGTTGTCTTTTTTGGGGTGTGTGTTTTGCTTCTCGCTCTGCAGTTCCATCAAGTCGGCTTGCAAGCTTGCCTGCGTGTGAACAAGTTGGTATGAAGAATCACCTGGGAGCATTGGTGTGAAAGGCGGCGTGTATGCACATGGTTTGTTTATATGCACCACATTTTCTTTTCATGTTAATTGTTTGACGTTATGCAGTACATGGTGATTTGCATAACTCTATTTTGTTCGCGCTTTCGGTCCAATGATGGTGCGGCGCAACCGTGTGCTGCTGCCGGCGGCGTTTGTGTGTTGGCCGCGGCCTCAGGAACGGAATGTTCATGATTTCGCCGGATTTGGTGGTGCTTGGGGTTTATAGGTATTGAAATGAAAGTGTATGATGTTACACGGGTGTTTGGACTTGCGATGATCCCCTGCTTTTATTACTTTGGGGTTTCCGCAACAACTGAAGAATGCAAATTCTCCGCGCCCCTCACACATGGAAACATTTTTTCACAAAAACAACGGTCAATTATGCAGCCAATGCCTCGTTGTAACCGAGCACAAGGCAAATGTCACGCGCCCCTCGTTTGTGCCAGGTGTTGGTGCCACGTAAGCCATGCAAAAAAAAAGTGCTGACACGAAATCTAAACATTGTTGATGCCCATAACTTACTTGGCCGGCGGTTGCCCTAAGTGGACTTACAACCTAGGTTATACATATACCTAACCTAGTTATAACCAACGTTATAAGTCTGCTAACCTCTATAGAAGTTAGGTTTTACTTAGCTTGGACTTGGCTCAGCCTATAAGAGTTAGTAAGTAGTTAGGTTTGACTTAGCTAAGTCAAAGTTAAGTGGGCTAAGACTTAGCTTGGACTTAGATTCGACTTAGCTCAGACTTATAAGTCCAAGCTAAGTCAAAGCTAAGTCGAGGCTCAAAAATTGAAGCAAAATCAACCCAAAATGCATCGAACGCAGCCACCAACCGACAACCAGCCAGCATACGGCCGCGCCGTTATTCTTTGTTACATTCCGCGTCGTGGCCGCTTGTTGATTCTTCTACGGTATCCTATAGAGTACTTGGCGCAAATAGGATGCGTCAAGCAGTCACATGATATAAAGTTTTGACATTGTCTTCATCCTGAAGTCTTTGAATCATTCACCCCAAAGACTTAAACATTATCACAATTCTATTTAGACAAGTTTAGAACTTGTCTTCATCTTCAATATTTTTGACAAATGTCAGAAAATACTCTGACATATATCAAAAACTGACAAATGTCAGAAACATATTCTCACAATTGTCAGAAAAATCTGACAAATGTCAGACAATTGTCAGAAGATTCTGACAAAATCTGACAGTATATCCTTTGAAAAGTAAATGTAAACAACAATTTGTCAGAACAATATGACAATATTGCCTTTTAAAACTAAATCTAAGCTAAAATTTGTCAGAAAATTCTGACACATGTCAGAAAATATTTGTGTAAATAGTAAATATTTCTGACATTTGTCAGACAAATATTCTGGCCAATGTCAGAAAATTCTTACAGATGTCAGAAAAAGTCTGACATTATTATATTGTTTAAAAGTTACATGTCAACAACAATTTGTCAGAAGACTTCTGACAATATATAAGTTTAGTTAAACTGTGATACACTAACTATGATAGTATTAACAGTGTAATTAACCAAAAACTATATTTTTCAATGTATTAAAAATAGTTTCAAATATGTGATGCCTGTTGATGCTGGCTGTTGATGCTCAGATGATGACTGTTGATGCTCGCGTGAGAGAAAAGTCTACCAGCGCACTCCCAGACCGAGCTTTCGGTTTTCAGTTTTCATTGTTATTTTTCAATGATTGCCTTAGACTTAGCTTTGACTTAGCTCAAACTGATCAAACAAGCTAACACTTAGCTTCGACCTCGCTCGGACTTCTAAGTCTTAGCTAAGTCCAAGCTAAGTCCAGGCTAAGTCCAACCTAAGTCCAAGCTAAGTTACCCTGAGCTAAGCCCAAGCTAAGTACTTACTAAGTACTTATAAGTCCAAGTTAGACTTAGCTAAACTTAGCAAAGTCCCACCGGCCAAGTATACCTTTGTGGCAGGTGTTTTATGCTGTGTGGGTCCTTGGCTTTATAAATTCTAATTGAATCATTTGCGGCTTGGCAATTTGCGGACCAGACAAACCCGGGGGAGGCTGGCTGTGCTCCCACTTGTGCTCCCTTGGTCCTTCATTGGTTCGCCAACATCTCCACGTGTCCGTGACCTTGGCCGCGATGGTCAAGGAGCGCCTGGAAAAGGTTTAAACGCCAAACGACCTGTCCATGTCTTTTTGAAGGTCTTGAACCAAAGATTTGGTTTCATTTGTCCATCCATACCTTGGCATCTGTTCATCCTTCAAGTGGCTGTGCAGCTCAATTAATTTGTTTTCTGAGGTGACAATATCCTCAATGGGTATTAAGTTTATCACTAGAAACTGGCCATTTCAGAGATTTTACTGGGCGCCAATTTGAACACCCTCAGCGTGAAGTCATGAAGCGGGTGCTGGTGCAGGAACCGAAAATGCCCCTCATCTCTTGCGCGCCCGAGGGATGCAGAGCGTGGCAACATACTGGGGAGGTAAGATGTAAAAGTGTAAAGGAGATAAAAGGAATACGAACGAGTACTGTGCCAATGAAACTAGAATATGAAGGCAGTTTTTTCTGGTCAACCCCCATTACTTTGAAAACATTTGAAAGCTAGTATTCTGAAACCCAACATGATGAAGAATGAAGATACACATGTGTAATCACGTAGATTCACAGTGATTGGCAATTGCATCATCAAGAATAGTCACAGTACTGTAAGCATGCTTTGTTTCGGGCGGCAAGGTGGCAACGATCCCTGGCGAAGGGCAAACAACCATTGCTTACCCCAGTTGATTCATAGAAATCTACCGATTTCCACTGGACCCGGAGATGTTGCAATGTTTTGCAGATCTGCTCTCGGCCGTTTCAGTGCTAAGGAGTCGACGAAATCTTTTTGGCGATCACTGTAAAAGAGAAATTTGTTGAAGTTTGGTTCGAAGGGGGTAGAGGCTTACAACTTACAACTGTGTTCCTGCTCCTGACAGAAAAGCTAAAACCGAAACGCATTCATATGATCGTGGAATTCCTTGGATTTCATGGCTTCAGGTCCAAACGAAACATTTGACTGTGACTGTTCCGCCATAGCCATAGCCCAGACATATCCAGGCATGCTTTGTTGAGCTTGAAGCCACCACTTGCACAGACGCAGCCAGAGCAAGCTGCTTTATCTGTCCGAACTTGACGCAACGTGAAGCGGAGGTAAAATCATTTGGCCGTGGAACCAGAGCGGCCAGTCATGGTGCTCAAGTCAGACTAACAAGAACAAATCTTGGTTATGAACGGAAGCTAATCTTGGGAAGCAATGAAAATCAAATAAAATCTTGGCAAATTTTAACGACGTCACCGACGTCACCCTGAATTAACGACCTAGGTTTGAAATTAAGATCTTGCCCCTTCATTTTAAGTAAGATCGTCCCACTAGCAAGCTAAGCATCTTTTGGCAGCCTGTTGCTTCAACGGAAAGCCCTCACACACAAATCTAAAAGGTTGATGATTGTTACAGCATACCCCTCTTCATTTAAGCGACCACCGTTTTCTCGCCGCGCGTGCAAGACACACAAACAAGCACATTGCTGGAAAGACGGGACGCTTGCCAAGGCTGGGGGTTTGAGCCCGGGCGTTCCGCTTCCGAGGGCGCGTTTCTGACCGCTGGGCCGCTCACGCGGGGGTTCGCGAAGGGCCGAAAGCAAACAAGAATTGGCGACGTTGGGTTTCACAATGGTTGAGTGGTTCGGGGCCTTCTGGACGCGCTTTCCCGGCTTACCGAGCCCCAGTAAGCAAGGAAACTGCGACGAGCAGCTCAAAAAGGCAGCCCCATCAAAAAACCCTATTTTGGCGAAATGGGGTTTTGCGACGGCTGGTTGGCTCGGGGCCTCCTGGACCCGTTTTCCCGGCTTACCGAGCCCCAGTAAGCAAGGAAATTGCGACGAGCAGTTCAAAAAGGCAGCCCCCATCAAAAAAACACCATTTTGGCGAAATGGGGTTTTGCGACGGCTGGTTGGTTCGGGGCCTCCTGGACCCGTTTTCCCCGGCTTACCGAGCCCCAGTATAAGTAAGGAAACTGCGACGAGCAGCTGGAAAAGGTAGGCCTCCTGGACCTGTTTTCCCGGTTTACCGAGCCCCAGTATAGGAAACCGCGACGAGCAGCTCGAAAAGGCAACCCCCGTCAAAAAACCTTCTTTTGGCGAAATAGGGTTCTGCGACGGTTGGTTGGTTCGAGGCCTCCTCGACGCCTATTCCCGGTTTACCGAGCCCCAGTTGAAAGCTCAAATACCGGATTTTGGAACCACCTCCAAAGCCAAACTCTTGTAACCCACACGACATGAGCGTAGGGTCAACACCCCCAAGCATTGCAAGCATTGGAGAGATCGAAAAGAGAATACGCAATGCTGTTCCCAGGCATCCAGTCCACTGCCTGCAACCGGATCTCTCCCAGTACAGAAGATTCAAACAGCGGCCTCGCCATGCAGGTGCTCACCGCAACGGTCACCCCAACCAAGCCACGCCCACAACTGGGTGCGTGCGCTGGTTGGGGTGCTAGGTCTTCCCAAGGTCACTTAATTTCGTATTTCCAACGACGTCGCATAATTTCGTTTCCAATTTAACGAAAATAACCGACGACCCACAATTTTTTTAATTTGCTCAGATAAACAGTTGATCCGAGTCACTGTAAACACGGTGAGAATGACGTCAGGAGAGGCCCGGGGTATTTCGAAGCTATAAAGCACAACACCAACAGATTTCGCGCCTGACGCTGCCGCCAACTTCTAACCCTGGAAACGGCCCCCGGTCGCAAGGGCCATTTCGATTCAAGGATATAATCACGCAACGTCAATGGGGAACTCGGCCTGACGCGGGGAATGTGGCGTCAATAGCCGGCGTCAGGGAGGTATGCGGCGTCAGACAGGAACGCGGCGTCATGGAATGCGGCGTCAATAGGCGGCGTCAGGGAGGTATGCGGCGTCAGACAGGAACGCGGCGTCAAGGAATGCGGCGTCAAGCAGCGTCAGGGGGGTATGCGACGTCAGACCGGAACGCGGCGTCAGGGAATGCGGCGTCAATAGGCGGCGTCAGCGGGGTATGTGGCGCCAGACCGGAACGCGGCGTCAAGGAATGCGGCGTCAATAGCCGGCGTCAGGGGGGTATGCGCTGTCAGACCAGGAAGCGGCGTCAGGGAATGCGGCGTGGCTAGGCGGCGTCAGGCGGGGAGGCGGCATCAGTGGGGAAAGGAGCGTCAGGGAATGCGGCGCCAACGAGTTCCCAACACGGCGGCAATAAACGGAGGCAGCGTCAGGCGCAAAAGTGCCCCCACATGGGCGGCCGCCCTGTATAACTATATATATATATATATATGTATGTTGTAATATGTATAACAATTCATTGTTATTACTATATATATATACACACATGTATTTGTTATGTGTATACATATATATATATATATACATATGTCTTGTTGTTCCCCCAAGAACTAGCTCAATCCAGATCTGGCAAGGTTCCTTAAAACCTGGCAGCCCACTTCCAGGTGTGGACACCTGCACCTACCGCGAACACAACCACTCTTCTGTGGATCATGATGGCGCCAATAACCAATGTAAACCGTAGACTCTTGATTCGCCCCCCCACAACCAGAATAGGTTTTTCAATCCAAATGGATTGGTTTATCAATCAAACGTCTATATACATTAATGCACCAATGGTGTCACCAAGGATCACATCTCCACATATCGGCTGTGCAGACACATGGAAGGATCTGCCTGAAGTCTTAGATGTCATTGAGGCGAGCTGCGAGTTCTGGAAGCGGGATCGGATGGGGTGGGTGCGTGCCAAAAGCATGGGGGACACATCAAGAACTTTTCAAGATGTTGGTATTCTGGAGCGCTATTGATGTGGTCCAAGCAACTTGTTGCAACCGGCATCATTTGATGTTGGCGCCTTGCTTTGACTTCCTTTGACGTTGGTGTTTGTCTAAAGCTCACAAAGCTCACACTGTTTGGAGCATGTCTTTTTTCCCCGGTCACCGTGTGGTCACGTCAAGAGTCGATGGGCCGGTGGAGCCGGAATCTCTTGCAGTTCCGAGCGAGGCTGAGTGCCCTGCGCAGCCGATCTTCGCCATGGGCTTCTCCATGGGTTCCTGGGATGGCCGAGCAAGCTGATGATAGGTGACATATGGTGATCAAAGACTAAAGCGATCCTTACTTATGGCCAAACAACTGAACAGTGGCCACAAAAAAATCACCAAAACGACATAGTCTCGGTCGGCATTCGAAGTGATGTTTCTCCAGCTATGTTGAGGAGTTGCGACTAGGCAAGCACGCAGAATGCTCAGATCTTCACATCTTCAATCCCACGTTTTTCACAGGTTTTGGGGGTCTTAGATGTTGGCGGAAAAACACCTTCGTCTCTTTAGCCTAGAGCGAACATGCTGCACCGGGAATGATGTTTCCTTCCGATTTCGCTTAGTGAACAACATGCTTATCATGTTACATCCATCAGGTTGCACGAGCCCCACCCGCTTAGGAATCCTCAACTTTCTTTGAGTGAGTTGGATGATGATGATGATGATGATGATGATGATGAGCCGTGTTCTGTGGAGCTCAGGGGGCACGATCCTGACCAAGTACTTGGGCGAAAATGGCCAGCAATCCCGTGCCATGGCAGCTTTTAAAGGGAGGTGAACGGCACCGTTTTATTGGGACTGTGGTAGGGACTGGTGGGATTCATGGGACAGACGTGAGGCCAGCATTTCTTGGGATGATTCCGTTCTTTTCGGACATTGTCTTGGCATCTCTTGGTATTGAAAGACCTACAACAAGACGCCCTTGGAAGGTAATCTGAATCTTATCATTTCAGTCCTTCTGAGCGAAGACTTTTTCTGTTCCGCACAACAACCATCCGCCCCGTAAGGGCTTTGGGGCGACCCTTCCTGACCATTCCAGATGATGAGCTGATGGACACCCACAAAAATGCAGCGATGGTGCGGACGTTGCAACCCAGTAAAATGAATGTGGAGAGCTCTGCAGGCCACAAAATTTCATGCGGACGTTGCTTTTGAGCTTCCTGTTAACATCAAATCATACATTTCTTTAACTCTACACTAACATGGAAGCTGCTAATGTGTCCTCCCCCAACATGGAACTCTTGGAAGGGTTTCTGCTCCTACAAGTCTTGACTAACATAGCACCTGAGAATGCAGATTCTAAAGCTTCACTAACATGGATGGTTAAAAAACGTTTTTGATGTCCGGCTTCCTGAGCAAAATAGCGAATGGTATATATTATATATATAAGCAGAATCTTCCTATTCCGAATCTGTGAGGATTGTGGTTAACAAGGAAGCCGCTTTGGGAAGGGGTTGGACACAAAAAAAACTGCAACAGAGCGATTTGCTGGGATGTGCTGGGAGTTTTACTTTTTGGTCTGTCTTCCATGTTAGCGTGTGTTTCTTGAAGTTTCTTGTGTGCCCGCGGGCCCCCGCAGAGCCCGCGCGAGTTCACCGTGCCGAGCCAGTGAGCCCGCGAGCCCGCGCCAAGTGTCGGGCCCGCGGGCCACGCGAGGTGACCCTCACACGGGTACCATTCCCTTGTGTGCTCGGAATTTTTTTTGGCCCAGCTTCCATGTTAGTGTGCGTTTCTTGCATGAGCGGCATGTGTACAGGCTGGCTGAATTGATTTCTTACCTTCCATGTTAGCGTGATTCATGTAGATGGCCGCATTTGTGCACCTTCCATGTTAGTATGTGTTGGCGCCCCCGTCAGATCACTTACACTAACCTAGCAGGTAGAACATAGTGTTTTGAGGTGCTGTTAGTGCACACTTTTGAGTTTTCAGGTTCTAGGTTAAAATAGGAAAGTATGTATGTATACTTGTTTATTTTAAAATGTACATTTTTTTAAATGTCACTTATCATTAGCCTCACCACTCTACATTGTCAATCTTGTCCCCGATCTCACAGCATTGTCATATCAAAAAGACACCGTGTTTTGTGTTTTTTTGTTTTTCGTGTTTTCCGTCCAATTCCCTTTCTTCGGTCGATCATTGGAATGCAAGCACGGTCCCTGCGCTGTTGTCGTTCGGTTCACGAGGCCTCCGTGCGGCAGTGGCCGTCAGCTGCCCATTGGCCTACCCTGCCCACCAAGCAGAGCTGGAGAAACGTCGCTCGGTCAATCTCAGTAGGCTGAGAGATCCGGGGCTGGGCAAAGCAAGGAGAAGTGATGTAGATGTCCAAGAACACGAAGAATTGCAAGCCTTTCGTACAGAAGGCATCTGGCAGATGGACGAATCCACCCTTCTCGATTTTGTTCCGGGTGGTTTGCGGTTCTCTGAGCCCCGAAACACTTCTGTTTCCTGCTGGAACACCTCACTGAGGAAAGTTCCTCAGTTTCTTGATGGCCCAGCCCTTGAAGGCGGGGAAGTCGAGTCGATGCTCCGGGGATCGGCGGCCACCCCGGAGGTCCCAGTCAGTGCCAAACACCAGTCGCCTTCGAATCAGGATACTCTCCCAGAACCAACATGGAAGTGGATGGCACCTCCTGTTTGTAGTGGATTTCATGGTCTTCCTTTCGGGGTCATTCTCCACGTAACCATGTTAGTTCCAGGGAGTGTACGTCCAATTCGACTCCCATTGGCACACTCGACGACGTCCTTCACCGGTCGTGCCCCAGCGGTCAGCTTTGGCTCTTCAAGAAGCGAGAGCAGATCGCCAAGCTCTGGCCCCACTGTGAGATGTCGCAGGCGCGCGGGGGGTAAACCGGAAAACAGCCATCCGCTGGAATCAACCCTTCTAGGACCCTTCCAATGAGTGGTGCGCGAGGACGCTTTTGGGCCGAAGTGCATGTTCTTCTTTTTCGTGTCTTGGGACATTTTTGGACTGTGGCCGTCGGCCGTGTTGAAGAAACAAGATGGCAACTATGTGGGTTTGATGCCTGTGACGACTCCTGTCTTGGCCTTTCTGACCTGCGACAGGTGATGATGAGCGGATCGTTGCTGACCGTGGCTGGATACTTCTTTGAGCCACGGTGGCACTGATCGAGGTTGCGAGTGTGTGCGCCAGACATACGGCGCCTCTCACGAGAAGTTTCACCATGTTTTCCAGACATACATCTTCTTTTCGGGTCCACCTTCATTCTGATAGAACTTGCTTACATCCCCCAAGGCCCTCTTCTTCACTTATTGAGTTTTGGTTTTGTCGCCGTAACTCACTCCGTCGGAGCCGGTTCCTGGCTGAGGAGCATCAAGGATATCACACTGTCTCCGACTACTTCCTGCAGCGGCCCAGCGGAAGAAACGCGCAAGAAAACATGCTCGAACAACTCCAAAAGAATCCAAAAGTCGTATTCAGAATGCAACCCAATTGAGAACTGCGGAAGCTTGTTTGCTACTGCACTACTGCACAGCAGGGTCTCCAAGTTGTATCCACCATCCGTGTCCCAAATCTCCTTCACCCAGCATAGCCCGAATAAAATCTATAAGGGGGGCTTGCACGTGCTCAACTTGGAGGGAGATCGTGCTTAAGAGGCCCAAGAGCTCTTTTTAAACAGTCCCGGGGTGCTTCAATGTGCTTGGTTTGCAGGGTGGTTTTGGGGACCTCCATGCAATGGCAATGTCAGGAATGACCCCGAGCCCGTCTTGCAGCGTATTGCTTGCCCACTGCTGATCCTTGGTGCCAAAGATGATCCCTTGATGATGCCTGTGCCGCGGGAGACCATCGCGCAAAATAAGCACCTGATTCTGGTGGAGACTGAAGATGGCGGACATATGGGATGGGTTCCTTTGGCAAGATGGTCTTCTTTTGTTTCGGTTCACGGTCTCGAGTGGGTGCGGAAGTGTAAAGGATTGGACCCCTTCGAGCCTTTCGACCCCCTTCTGAAGCTTTGAAGGAGCATGAAGCTTCCCCTTGGAGCATGAGCGTTGAGGATTTCCTTCGCTGCAGTGTTTCAAATCTTTGATGCCAAATTCCAAATGGCACCTTTTCCCCCAGCAAGTTTCAGGATTGATCAAGGGTTGAATCTGCGTGGCTCTTTAGGACTTGAGAACTCCAGACCGGCGAAATGGTGCAACTGAAGAAACACAACAAAAAGATCGGGTTTTTAATTGGGCGCAAGATGGGCCGGTCTACGGGCTTCTTGTCATTTGCTGTTCAAAGCTGTTGGTCAACCGCCGTCAAGGCGCCGGGGGGAGCCGCTTCACAGCGGATGTAGAAGCTTTATGAAGCTTTTTCAGGCATCGCATGGAACTCAAACAAGACATGCATGGATCTAAGAGGCCAACCAAAAAGCCCTGCTCCAACGACTGAAAGCTTTCTTCGCAACCTTCGATCCTGCCAGTCAAACCGGTCACCGCTCTCTGTCTGGTTTGCACGTCCGATGCAGGCGGGCAAGGGCACGCTTGGGCCCCAAATCTTCGGGTCCTCTTGGGCTGATGGCTTGGCGGCGCGTGCTTTGGATGAGACTTGAGACTGAAATGAACTCCCCACAGAGAGCTTTACAAGCATACATACATCTGTACCGTGTATATATATATATATATGTATGTATACTGTGTATATACTTGATGCTGTGTGGGCATAGCTCTGGCACCACCATCCCCTCACGAAGCCAAAGTGTTCAACTGTGCCATCAGCTAGGTTTCCTGGCCTTCCATGCCAAGATGCCAGTGCTCCGCTCACGTCTCTGAGCAACAATTTTCCATACAGCTATGGTTGTTTTTGGAGCCAGACAAAGGCTACTAAATAGACAAAAAATGTGGAACGGCTTGGAAGTGTTCCAATTCCGCAGCTTGTTTGGCTAACAAGTTAGTGGCACCTGTAAGGGCTTGCTACACAACTTGAGCCACCTGAAAAGCATGGCTGAAGGGCAAAGGACGGTTGCTCTTGTGTGTTTTTGCTTTGTTCAAAGAGGAACAAAGGCTTGAAGGAAGTGGCATTTTTTTCTCCTCACGAACATCTTGGTCTCAGTAGGGTTGATTGTGAATTGGGACAAACTGCGGCCTTGTCCCTTTGCCATTCAAGAGACGTGATCTGAATTTGAAGATCTGCAACACACATTTCTCGAATTGACAATGCCAAAGTTCTCAACAGGTGAGGCCCGACTATCCTCTCTAGCGAAGACATCACGCCGTGGCCATTTCTTGGGCTCCAGAACCGTGCTTTGCCGTGCCGGCTGCTTTGCCGGGTTGGAGACAGAGGCACGCCCAAGGGTTTATCATGTTTTATCGATTTTGTGTTTTCTTCGTTCTTCTTCTTGATCTCTAGCTAGGTTTCTTCAGTTGGAGAACTTTGGGTTCCTCAGCGCATGCTACATCATCCATGGCTAGAGGCTAAATTGGGTGCCTGGTCATGTCATCGTTGGCCATCGCTGGCAGGCTCGAAGGATGTCGCCTCTGCCAGCATTTTCTGACCCGGTCTTTGAGGTGGGACTGTGGTGTGGGGTGAGGCAGACCAGCCACCTGAGCTCAGCATGGTCAGCTTGTCCCAAGGTGACCCTCTCAGTGGTACAAGGCAGATGACTCCGACGTTTGGGGTTCAAAGTGGTCAATGACGTCGAGTAGGGAACAAGCCATAAGGCCTGCCTTGGTAACTTGGCAAAGAAGATCTTTCCTTTGCAACATGTCACAAAGCTTCTATTCATCATCATCGTCATCATCATCGTCATCATCATCATCATCATCGTCATCATCATCATCATCGTCATCGTCGTCATCATCGTCATCGTCATCATCATCATCATCATC